GGGCGAAAATTTGTAGTTCGAACGGATCAGCGCAGCCTCAAATTTCTGTTGGAGCAACGGGAAGTGAATATGGAATATCAGAAGTGGCTGACCAAGCTCTTGGGATTCGACTTTAACATTGAATACAAATCGGGGCTGGAAAATAAGGCGGCTGATGCTCTCTCCCAAATGGATGCTGCCACTCTAATTTGCTATGAGTGTTTCCAGTGCAATTCATCTTCACGAGGTACTAAAGGCAGTCGAAGAGGATGCTGAATTGAGGACAATTGTGACCACCTTGCGTAGTGGTCACTCGGGCCCCCCAGACTACACCTTGGTCCAAGGAAACTTGCTTTACAATAACAGGTTAGTGCTGCCCAAAGATTATTCCTCGGTTAAGATAGCATTACATGAAGGCCATGATACGAAAACAGCAGGGCATGGCGGGTTTTTAAAAACATTCCGACGAATAGCTGAGAGTGTGTATTGGCAGGGGATGAAGGACATTAGGGCGTATGTGGCAGCTTCTGCGGTCTGTCAACAAACAAATATTCCACCCTGGCCCCAACTAGGTTGCTTCAACCCTTGCTGGTGCCTGATAAAGTATGGGAAGATATATCAATGGATTTCATAGAAGGATTGCAAAGATGAGAGGGGTTCGATTCCAATATGGTTGTGGTTGACCGCTTGAGTAAGTATGCACACTTCATTGGGTTGAAACACTCCTTCACAGCCCCAACCATGGCAGTTACTTTTATCAAGGAGGTAGCCCGGCTGCATGGGTTCCCTCGTTCCATTGTTTCCGACCGTAACAAGGTATTTGTGAGTCAATTCTGGAATGAACTCTTCAAGTTGCAGGGGACTAAACTAAAGTACAACTCTGCCTATCATCCCCAGACAGACGGGCAGTCGGAGGTCGTCAACAAGGGGGTGGAAACATATCTGAGGTTCTTTGCCTCAGTTCAGCCTCGCAAATGGTACCACTTCCTTCATTGGGCTAAATATTCCTATAATACCTCTTTCCATGTATCGGCGCAACTCACCCCATTTCGAATACTTTATGGGCATGATCCTCCCCCATTGATACGATTTGATAAGGGGACCACAGCCATCTCGTCCCTTGAACAGCAAATGTTGGAACGAGACCAAGTATTGGAGGAATTAAAAGTGCACCTACATAGAGCTCAACAACAGATGAAGTTATCAGCTGATAAACATCGCAGGGCCATGGTCTTTGATACGGGGGATTAGGTGTGTGTGAAAATGAGACCATATAGACGCCGATCGCTGGTTGCTCGATCCCATGAAAAGTTTGCCTCAAGGTACTTTGGTCCCTTTAAAGTATTGGCAAAAGTGGGTCAGGTAGCATATCGACTAGCATTACCAACACACACTCGCGTCCACCCGGTATTCCATGTGTCTCAACTGAGAAAGGTTGTTAGAGATGCACATATTGTCTCACCATTACCGCTACAACTGGGAGAAGACTGGGAAATGCTAGTGGAACTAGAATTTGTACTTGGATACAGGCCACATCATGAGAAGACATCAGCAGGAATGGAAGTCTTAATTCAATGGAAAGGTTTATCACCAATGGAAGCAACATGGGAACCATTTGACTTGATCAATAAGCAGTTTTTTACTTTCCACCTTGAGGACAAAGTGGCTGCAAAGGGGGGGGGGGTATTTGATAAGCCCCCGATCAGATTCACCTACACTAGACTCAAGGAGAGAAACAATTGCACCAAGGAGTGACCTAAAATATCAAACGGGCACAGAATCTTCCAGAAGTTCATTTGGGCCCACTTATTCTGTTATAATGAGTTGTTTCGAATTTGTTAGCAAATTAGTTAGATTAGTTACGGGAAGGGTTATATGTAAGGGTGGGGAAGAATGGTAGAGGTATCTAGAATTTACTAAGTTCCATAGTGGAGAATTTCCAGCTTCTCGAAGTGCTGGTTTACCACGTCTCATTTGTAATTTCCGGCTTACCTTTCATATTGAATAAATCAGAGAAAATCCCCAAAAGACTTCTGTTCATCACCTTCTTTGCACAATCCCAATCACTCCTATCAGAAACACAATCATTTCGTATCAATGAAATATTGAAATTTAGTATGCTTCTACTCTTTACATGGTATCTGAGATACTCACAAGTTCTTCTTCATAACAACTTTTATTTGATAGGTCTTCTTCATAACAACTTCTGGTCCTCCCATTTTCGGCCCACTTCCTCTATTTCTTCTCTTGTCATCCTCTCCAATATTCTCGTTAATAACCGAAACCACTGTTATCCAAAACATACTCCTCCTTTTATAATTTAGTGCAAATCAACGCTAACACTTAACTCCCTCTCTGCCTCACCTCTTCCAACTACTTTTCATAGAAGGTGCAATTCACCTCTCATTTCTATGATCTTAATCTCATGGGATTTTTCGATGGCACATCTTATCCTCCCAAACTATCACAACCAAAGATGTCCAAACCACAAATCATGCCTTCCCACGTCTGCTGTCTTAAAAAAGCTATATATAGCCTCAAATAGGCAACTCATGCCTGGTACACCGAGCTTAAAGGTTTTCTTCTATATTGCAGCTTCAAAAATTCTAGGAGTGGCTCATCCCTCTTCCTATTCTACTCTAAATTTATTAGTCTCTACTTCCTGATCTATATTGACACCTCCTTATCACCGAAAATGATAATGATGTTGTATCACATTTCATTGATGCCTTCTTTATGCGCTTTTGGGTATAAAATTTAGGTCTCTTAGCTACTTACTTGGCGACGAGTAGATTCAATCATCCTCTGGTATGTTCCTTTGTCAACATAAATAAATTAGGGATTTTTTTCTTGCTCCAAAATGGCAGGTGTCTAAAAATGTGACACACCTGTGTCTAGTACCTCTCTCACTCTTCATGATGGTTTCCCTCCAGCTAATGCCACTCTATATCGCCAAGTGGTTGGTGCCATCCAATACCTCTCTCTCACTCGTTCGCATGTTTCTTTTGAGGTAAATAAACTATCTCAATTCATGCACCGCACCTATACTAATCATTGGTCAGGTGTCAAAAGAATTCCTTGCTACCTCAAATATACCATTCACTAAGGCTTACTCCTTTCCAAACACTTCAACCTCAGCTTCACAACCTTTACCGATGTCTATTAGGCTAGTAATCATGATTACCTAACTCCAGTTCTGCTTACATTATATATCTTGGTGGGGGTGCTCTGAAAAGCAGAGTACAATTGCTAGATTCTCTTGTAAGGGTGAATATCGTACCCTTGTCTCTTGCTCAACTTAGGTTATTTGGATATAAAATATATCACGGGAGCTCAATTGCAATTACCTCATCGCCCTACCATATTTTATAAAAATATTAGAGCTACATCTTTCACAGTCCACATGAAGCACATTAGTATCGATTATTATTTTGTGTGTAATTATGCCACAAGTGGCTCATTTGCTGTCTCCTGTATTTTCTCTAATGTCATCTGGCTCATACAATTATCTACTGCCATGTTCACACATTATCCAAGATTGGAATCTCCAATGGGAACTCCATCTTGGGGGGCTTACTAAAAATATGCTGGAAAGTAACAAGAAGATTGAAGATAACAACTCTCAAAACTTATCACCAGCTTATCAAAGCTCATCACCAACTGAAAAGGATTGATCACCTCAACAACATCTATATTAGAGTCTTACCAGCTTGTATTTTTATCTTAATCACTTTGTATAGTTATCTTTATTGTTTGAATAGGCATCATCACATTGTCAACTATGAATATGTATCATCTACGAATATGGCGCACCGACATGTACACGTGTGTCCAACACAATACTTTTTCAAAAAAACATTGACACGACACACCATCGACACGTTGATTAAGTCATTTAAAATTCTTCATTTATATAGTATAAATTCAGTTTTACGCTTATTTTAAATTTTTCTTATTGAAATCTTTTAAATGTGGGTACCTATTGTTATTTCCTAAAAATTTTGAGTTAAAAATATATAATATTTCTAGTGAAAAAGGAAAAATGATTATAGTAAAGTATGCGAAGAGTGTCGATATCGACACGCCGGAAAAGAAAAATAATTATGGTAGAATGTTCGAAGAGTATCGGTATGGACAAATGTCAAACACGGATACGCTATCTTAGTTGAAGTATCCATGTTACAACTGAGTGTGCATTCATTTCACATTAATGAAATATTGAAATGTATTATCCTAACTAAAATTAAAAAGGCAAACAGATATTGTCATGACGAACTCCAATCACCATATCATTACCCACCAACAATCAGTGTATTCTAGAATATTCTGCAGCTATTCTATAAATTCAGCAAGGAGGATGAAAGGCATGTTGAAAATTGTTAGCCTTGGGCAAAACAGAATTTCACTCATTTTCTCTCTAAATCTCTATCTCAGTTCTATCTCTCTTTCTGAATCTGCTTCTCTTCTTCCCTTCTTCCCCCTCTGATTCTGTCCTTTCTCTGTTTTCAGTTATTCTTTGTTATTTCTGTGTAATTTTCAGTTCAATTAACAGATTTCCAGCTCGAGTTATCGATTCCCAGCTGAATTGATCCATTATTGTGTTGATTTGAATTGCATTTTATTTGGTTTTGCTTGAAATTGAGCTCCAACCATTACAGATATATACAAAAGAGGAAAGTAATGCTATTCATGGTAAGGGCCACCAGTAATCGCCCGACGTGACATAAATGTGACATTTTGTTATTTAATATAGGAGCCACGAGACAATAAAAAACTAGTACATTAATGCATCGAATAACAAAATATCACATGTTCACTATCGGTAGTCTTCAATGTAATAGCATTGTTCTGTACGAAATTATTCCTATGCATAGCGTGTAGCAGTCAATCAAAATTGAGGAGAACACTTCTTCCACATTTAGCTCAAAGTCGTTTCATCACTTTTCAAATAAACCCTAGGTACTTAAATTAATCAATTCAATTGCTTAAATATATACATACATACATAGACATATACTCACATTTTCTTTGAGTTTACGGACAATTTTAACACGGAGTCTATCAAAATCTCCGTCGTCTTTGAGCTTCGATATAACATCTTCCACTTTGATATTGCCTTCTCTCACATCACCATTGTTTTCCATTGAAAAGATATATAGATTGCATAGCAATACAAACAGTAACACGATTTGAGGGCAAAATCAACGAAATAAAAAGGTAGGTTGCTCTGTGATTATGGTGGGGCACTTGTCCAGAAAATTTAGGCTGGTTAGAGAGACTCGAGCAAATTAAAAGGTCGGGTCAGGGTAGAAAGATTTGGGGATACTCAAAGAAATATCCTTAATTTTGGAGTGCTTTTAAAAAATTATTATTATTATAAATATGAATTAAAATACAGATATTATAATTTCACCTAGTTATCATCATAAGAAATACAGTGGAAATAGCCGACAGAGGACACCAAAAAAAAACAAAAAAAAAATATATTTTATTCGATTACAAATTACATATTTCATAGTTATTCAATAAAAAAGAAAGCAATATGCTAATTTTTAACAATAGTTACTGTTTTAGCCTCTATTTGGACTCCATTAAAAATAGATTTTGAGAGAATTATATTTTGGAATAGTGATTTTTAGAAGAATGTATGGTTAAAATATAAGGAAAAATTTCATGTTTACGTGTAATATTATTTTATTGCAGAATGTGCGATTGAAAATAAAAAGGGAATTTTTTTTTTTTCAAAAATGGAGCACGTAGAGGGTTTAATTCCTTATTGAAATGTTGAAATCATAAAAATAATTTTCACCTTAATTTTGATGTTGTTGAGGTTTTTTGGTTATAGTGCATATGAAATTTCATCTTTAAATTAATTGTTTTAAATTAGTATATATTGAAGGGGAAAAATCACAACTCAGGTAATAAAATCACAATTATACAATTAATGGTCACATATACATACTTATATGTCACAACTTATTTATTGGTGACATATTATCCAATTAACCCTTTTTTATTTCTTTTCTTATTTTTTAAGTCTTGTAATTTTATTTTATTTTTTACATTTTAATATGGTGATTTCAAAATTACTAATTTACATGTATTAATTTGATCAAAATTGATTAAATTTGACTTCTTGGTCAAGTGGACAATTTTCATCTATTTGGACTCCAAATGCATATTTCTAAAAAGTTAGGGGCCTTCGTTGGCACAAATTGAACGTTATGATAATATTTGCAAAAATTGAAAAGGTGAGGAACCGCTACTGCAATTTTCTCCCTTTTCTTCAAATTCATTTTAGCTGTACATTTTTCCAATAAAGTAATTTTGTATGTGAACCTATAATTTTTTCCTATATTCTAGAAAAATCTACAATAGCATCTAAGCATTAATGTTATATATCAAGACTAAGCCATTAAGGTAAGGCTACGGCCTACAAGAACAAACAGCTAAAGTGAAAATTGAATCGGAATTGCATTTTAAAAATCGTCGATTTGAAGTCACAGGGCTATGAAAGGGTTTCGAAATAAGACACACCGTTCTAAAATGTTTTAATTTAGGTTTTGAAGTTTTGATGACATTTAGAAATCAAATGGATCGTTTTAAAATTAAAAAAAAAAAAATTTAAATTAATTTTTATTTTTTTGGCATAAATTAGACTAGTAAGTTACCATCTTATCATCCAAAATAAAGCATTGACTATAAAATCTAAACACAAAAATACGTAATTTGATCCATTATCCATTACCAAATGCCAACTCTTAGTTAATTACCCTAAATTCCTAACCTGACTTTTCTTTGATTTTATTGGTATTTTAATTTACAATTTGAAATATAATCTTTTTATTATCAATAAAGTAGGAAAATATTTTCTAATCATTGAACTATTGCAACAAAGTAAACATAAAGAAAACAAATATACGGCTGAAACGCATTTTAAAACTAGATTTGCTGTGCATGTAACTGCATTCCTATATTTCTCTGGTGCTTCCTGAAACTGACCTCCTTACATCGACTTTCTTCCAAAATACGGGAAAGAAAAAAAAAAAAAAAAAGGACTATATTGCGATTTAAAATTAGAACAAATCGTTGTGTTTAAATTTGAAAAAATCTCAACTGTCCTAAATAGTTTGATTATAGTTGAGATATTTCTCAAAACCATTAACGGTTAGTTTAAAAATCTGTCAAAAATCGAGCAAGTCAAACCGCTTACACCCTAGTAGAAGCACACCTTCTACGCATAAATAGAATGCAATGGCATTATAGCTCCTTTCCATTATGATTTTGACACTCCCATAATAATAATAATAATAAAATCATTTCCATCTTTTCAGCCATATCAACGTTCAATGTTAGCGTGTTCAATGGCGGACACTTTCATCTTTGTAAGGAAAACATATTCGACATCATAAGGAAAAAAAAATGATAAATATTACGAATTACTCAACTAAATAGGAAAATTAAATCCGGAAACAAAAAATATTTGGATTTTTCTTACCTGTGAATTCAACACAACTGTATCGACTGTAGTTTGAAGACATATGAAATTTCATCTTTAAATTAATGGTTTTAAGTTAGTATATATTGAAGGGGAAAAATCACAACTCAGGTAATAAGATCACAATTATACAATTAATAGTCACATATACATACTTATATATCACAACTTATTTATTAGTGACATATTATCCAATTAACCCTTTTTTATTTCTTTTCTTGTTTTTAAAGTCTTGTAATTTTATTTTATTTTACTTTTTAATATGGTGATTTCAAAATTACTAATTTACATGTATTAATTTGATCAGAATTGATTAAATTTGACTTCTTGGTCAAGTGGACGGTTTTCATCTATTTGGACTCCAAATGCATATTTCTGAAAAGTTAGGGGCATTCGTTAGCACAAATTGAACGTTATGATAATATCTGCAAAAATTGAAAAGGTGAGGAACCACTACTGCAATTTTCTCCCTTTTCTTCAAATTCATTTTAGCTATACATTTTTCCAATAATTTTGCATGTGAACCTATAATTTTTTCCTATATTCTAGAAAAATCTACAATAGCATCTAAGCATTAATGTTATATATCAAGACTAAGCCATTAAGGTAAGGCTACGGCCTACAAGAACAAACAGCTAAAGTGAAAATTGAATCGGAATTGCATTTTAAAAATTGTCGATTTGAAGTCATAGGGGCTATGAAAGGGTTTCGAAATAAGACACGCCGTTCTAAAATGTTTTAATTTAGGTTTTGAAGTTTTGATGACATTTAGAAATCAAATGGATCGTTTTAAAAAATTTTAAAAAAAAATTTAAAATTAATTTTTATTTTTTTGGCATAAATTAGACTAGTAAGTTACCATCTTATCATCCAAAATAAAGCATTGACTATAAAATCTAAACACAAAAATACGTAATTTGACCCATTATCCATTACCAAATGCCAACTCTTAGTTAATTACCCTAAATTCCTAACCTGACTTTTCTTTGATTTTATTGGTATTTTAATTTACAATTTGAAATATAATCTTTTTATTATCAATAAAGTACGAAAATATTTTCTAATCATTGAGCTATTGCAACAAAGTAAACATAAAGAAAACAAATATACGGCTGAAACGCATTTTAAAACCAGATTTGCTGTGCATGTAACTGCATTTCTATATTTCTCTGGTGCTTCCTGAAACTGACCTCCTTACATCGACTTTCTTCCAAAATACGGGATAAGGAAAAAAAAAAAAAAAAAAGGACTATATTGCAATTGAAAATTAGAACAAATCGTTGTGTTTAAATTTTAAAAAATCTCAGCCGTCCTAAATAGTTTGATTATAGTTCAGATATTTCTCAAAACCATTAACGGTTAATTTGAAAATCTGTCAAAAATCGAACAAGTCAAACCGCTTACGCCCTAGTAAAAGCACACCTTCTACGCATAAATAGAGTGCAATGGCATTATAGCTCCTTTCCATTATGATTTTGACACTCCCATAATAATAATAATAATAATAAAATCATTTCCATCTTTTCAGCCATATCAACGTTCAATGTTAGCGTGTTCAATGGCGGACACTTCCATCTTTGTAAGGAAATCATATTCGACATCATAAGGAAAAAAAAATGATAAATATTACGAATTACTCGACTAAAGAGGAAAATTAAATCCGGAAACAAAAAATATTTGGATTTTTCTTACCTGTGAATTCAACACAACTGTATCGACTGTAGTTTGAAGAACAATGAGTTCAATACACAATAGCATTGAAGAGAAATGAAACAACTGTAATTCACATCACAGTACATCATAAGCTGACTAGCAAATTACACATAGCCTAACTTCTTGATAGAATACCAATCAGTGGCGCTTCCTTTTCTTTGAACTGCAGCTCAACTGCCTGCGAAAGAAAGTAATCGAGTTAAAGAAATGGTCCTTCCATAGCTATGCTACTTTCTGGGCATCAATAAAGGAACAAGATTTGACTTACGAATCATCAGAAATTTTTTTACTGGATGAAGATTTCTGCACGCTTTCAGAAGTTCCAGCAGCCTGTCAAATAAATAATAGTTCAATATGCTTGGCTTCTAACAAACCTTAACCTAAAACACCACATCATTCCAGGTGATAATATTCATAGGTTCTTTGTTGAACAGTAGGGATCGACACAATACGACCATAACTACACATTGTCTCTGAGAAAGCCTGTTGGAAAGGAGTATGTAAATTGTACTTGAGATTTTGAAGTGAAAATACCATGCTATTTTGGGTCGAAAAGAAGAAAGCAACACTAGGACAAACAAGTCCCTCAAAGATGGGGTGAATTAATGAATGCACAAACATTCAGTCAAGACCTTAGCTATTAAATACTCATCCAAGATTGATACCTTAACCTATGTTCGTCCAAATCTAATTCCGGTATGAATTCGTACTAGAACAAAATCATACAATTCCTACCCATTACCCCACTAGATTCCTGTCAAGTAAGCTGCTATCATTTTTCTTTTTTTTTCTTTTTTTTCCTTTTTTGTGTGTGCGTGCGCACGTGTGTGGAGATATTCATGAATAAACAGATCCTATTTCGTGATCATATAGGATAGTAACAACTGCAGAAGTCAAAAGACTTAAAGTTGTGCATTAATTTAACGACAAACAATAAAGAGCTACTGATCCTAATACTAACAGGGTCAGGTGGCCATCTGTAGCCTCTGCTATGAGCTTCAAGGTACTCTTCATATGTCTGCGTCACAAGATAAACATAAACATTAGGAATGAGAACATCAAGGCCCAAGTCTTTCTCTCTCACCAATAACGAATCAATTCAAAAAAGTTCATATTATGTAGATACAAATAAATATATTTACCAAAAAAAAAAAAAAAAAGTGATGGAAATAGAATCTAGATAACATTTACAATCAGTCCACAAACTGCTATTGAGAAAGTTTGGAAAGTGATAATAATTTAATTACTTGTGGTCAAACATATTTTTTATCCAAATGTTCGTTGGACCAACAACTGCTACCCACTTATTATCCACACATTCCGTATAACCAACATCTTATAATCACTTAAATTTTAATTTAATTACTTCCGAAACATGGTCCATATTCACCTCCTCATAATTTTTCCCAAGATCTCTCCATAGCTATAAGAATTGTTAAAGGAAATAAATAAGTCAGAATAACGTAGATCAGGCAAGAGGCAATTAGGTTTATTTCGTTTCCATATTTGTACCGTGTCTTTCCATGTATGTACTTTTAGCATCTCTATAGAGTAGAAGGAAATGAGAGGAAAAATAATAATCTTCTCTTCTCCAAAATTTCAAATTTAACATACCTGTTTATCAACAAAAATCACCTTTTTCCTCATTTCAATGAAGTTCATCTATGCGACGCTACAAATCTGAAACATTCTGTTCAAGTGGCAAAGCGCACCCGCAACATGTAGCATTGTAGTCACACCACATGTAGTGAGGCTCACATACATGTCAAGTGTATATTTTGTAAAATGAAAATGAAACCAAGGATCATCCTACTGAAAGTGAAACCTTTAAGTAGAGCTCCAAACAGCCATAATCCATAGCATAGGAGTGGCAATCTGTCGAGCTAACTTACAACCACGAGCTCAGCTAGGCCCTCGTTTGGGCACGAACTGCGAGCTCAAGCTGAGCTTGTGCCTCGGCTTGGCCCTAAGCTTGTGAACATCTTGAGCTGAGCCACTTTTGAGCCCAAACGAGCCGAGCCTTTCACGAGTTGGCTCTATTAAATTAACAAAATAAGCCTAAAAATGAGAAATTTTTTTAAAAAATTAATAAAATAAATCTAAAAATGAGGCAAAAAAAAATGAGCCGGTTCACGAGCCCAAACTATCCGGCTCGCTAGCTCGTACCAACGAGCCGACCCGCTCAGCTCATGAAAAATAATTTGAGCTCAGCTCGACCCTTGACTCTTTTCAAAATGGGCTCGAGCCGTTCACGGGCCGAGCTAGGACAATCATTTGCCACCCCTAGCAAAACTTATTCACTCACACGACAATTATACATGTTATACCAAATGGCATAATGCAATGCTGCACATTTACAAAATGGAGAAGTAAACAATATTCACTCGACCGATTGACAACGTTTTCTAAGGAATACTAAACTGCAGTCATTCAGGCAACCTATGCAAGGCCGTTGTAGTTTAAATATACACACAGTCCCCACAACGAGGATAAGAAAGAAAGGTACATAATTGAAATAGCTAACAGACTGGGGGTAAAATTCAAGTCTCTATAAATAAACCATGGAACCATATTGTTGTCTCACTGGTTAAAAAACAAAGAAAATAACGTACATAATTGAAGTAGCTAATGGATTGACAAACACCAGCTTCTTTTTAAAATCTAAACAAGTATAAGTTGTATGGTAGGAAAAGGAAAAACCAAAAAGAACAGAAGCAAACACCAACACCACAGAACATCTGCAATCACTGGTAAGATTGCAGGCACACTGAGCAGCACATAATGCATAATGGAAGAGTCCGTTCAAAAAAAAAAAAATAAATAAATAAAAAATAAGGTGTATAAAGGAAAACGAGCTTGAAAGATATTTGGCTGAAAACATGAGTAAATGTATAAAAACTTCTGTGTACAACACACAGGAAAAAATTCAGTAAGTGGAATATAATCTCTAAGAAAGATAAAGTCCAAGAAACATTTAGGAGCATGAATATATCAATGAACTTATAAAACTTAAGATGAGACACCTATACCATTTTCAGAATATCATCTTCAGTCAGAGTGAAAGCATGGGGGCTTCTCTCTGCTGACAGGCCATTTTTTCTAATGTGTGCTAAATGGTATCTATTTACTTCAGCTTGATGTTGATAGAGGAAAAAGGGATCCAGCGCCGGTTCCATGTGCAACGGAGGCACATTACAGTCTTCATTTTGAAAAGAATGTAATTGCTCTTTGTAAAGACATTGTGAATAAAGATCATCCCTTGCTTCATCTCTGAATACAATTAGAAAGTTACATGAACAAGGGATTTCCAGAAGAATCATATTTTAAATTTGATTAAAAAAGAAAGAAGAAAATGAAACCTTGTCAAATTAATTTCCACATCATCTCTCCCATCAAGAAGCTCACAAAGAGCTTCACCAATCTCCTGAGGTAACTCCTGCAAAAGGTTTATATATTTCATGTGCAAGTAATATAATCAAAGGCTCCCAATTTGCGAAGAGACATACATGCATAAACCGTTAATGAAAAAAGCAGTCTATAAAAAAACATATTGTAAAAATTAAGAATAGTTGATACCTGGCAGTCTCTACTAATTTTCACAGGTCTGTAATAATTCCAAGGGTTTTTCAGATGAAGAGTCTTTCGGAAAGGCAAATCATGCAAACACAGCCATTTGACTTTAAAACTCCGCCCCCAAGGTTTATTTTTACCACTTTCTTGACTCCAAATGTCCTCCCGTCTCCCACCAATTGAAGACATCATTTGAGCATACCCCTGGAAGAAACCACTCGTGTTGACGCTGAAAATGAGAATTACCTTGCCAGAATTCTGCACCAAAAGTGCACGCTTCTCTATAACTTAAAAGAGGATAACAACATTTCTAAAATATGCGCTATACTTAACAAAAATGGGATCTTACTTGGAAGGCTTCTTCAAGAATAGGCTCGTTCATGATTTGAGTTGCCCAAAGTCCCTTCTCTATTGACAGTTGAATATTTTCATGGCTCAAACTCTTGATAATGAAATATCTCACTTTATACAGACTATCTTTGATTGGCACCTGGTCACCAGAATGCACTTGCTCTTCTGCCCCCAGGCAACAGGCTTCTTCATTTATTTTGTCAGTTGAGCTCCCTGACAATGGTATCCATATTCTTCATTAAGCACAAACTAGGATTGCAAAACGAAGTGAATGTTTTAGCATTAATCAGAAGTACAAAACTAGTATCATCCTACTATGCTCGCAAATTGTAAGTTGTTGATACACTCATGAGAGCAATGTATCAATTAACAGAGTACTACTATTCTTAAACTCATGCAACACTATGCCAGAAAACTATAGAGCAACTTCTCACTTAATCTGCATGGTGTGCAATCTATTAAGTACATTCTACATGCCCAGATATTTCTTTCATCTCTCCTCAAAAAATAAGGCAATCTGCAAGAGCATTACTGCACACCATAAACGGTACTGATAGGTAAGCCTGAAATTAATGAATCCTAATCTTAATGCTGCGCTTTACACCAATTTTTGCAGCGATGCATAAAATGCATGATTATATCATCCAATATTTGAAGCATAGACTTCCTATTAACTATTTTCATACTTTATGAACTCAATAAGAGAATCCTAACACAGTAAATTCTTCTGAGCTTCATATCTCTGTCCTCCAATTATGGATAGATGAAACTAAGGTCTCCATCAGCATGCATCTCAAAGCAAATCCTAATACTCAACAAACGAAAACAAGATTCTGAAATGCCATCACTTCGTTTTCATCAACTAAGCAGTAGCAACAAGTCCAAATTCATGTTTTATGAGATTGCCGCTTTCTATAAGAAAACGAAAAAAATTATACACCAATAAGAAATAAAAACAAACTGAAACAAAATCAAGCAAAATATTGTCTCAAACTGTGCTTCAAAATCATTAATGCATCCAACCAATATGCTTATGACTATTGGCTGTGCTTTTGTTTTCTCCTCTTCTTTCTTTCCTATAAAATTAAAACTGCTTGCTCCTAAAATCAAAATCATTAATGCATCCAACCAATATGCTTATGACTATTGGCTGTGCTTTTGTTTTCTCCTCTTCTTTCTTTCCTATAAAATTAAAACTGCTTGCTCCTAAAATCAAAATCATTAATGCATCCAACCAATATGCTTATGACATTATGAGAGGCACGTCTGATGAGTTTAAAAGGCGAACACTTAAAACTGAGGTAAAACAGAAAGTGGCATAAAATAACAGAGACAACACAGCTTTTCAAGACTGATGGTAAACAAATTAAACAGAGAACATTCAGCTTCCTTGCTTGAACTCTCAACAATTTAAGCAATGATTCATATCTAGTAAATTAAATTAATAAATCAAGAGAACTACGATACTGTTACCTGGATCGTTCAAGTTTGCCATGCCCATTTTCAATTCAGTCACAGATGAATCGACTGCTGAAGTGTCTTTACCTAATCGGATGATATGCCTATTTAGATGTACAAAGCTTTATGCGGACCAGTCAAACTCAGGGGAAACCAAGTAAATGTAAGACAGATCTGTGAGTGCATAAGAGACAAATGACATATTATAAAATTCTAAGTGAACAAATCTTCAGACTTGTAGAACCATGCATAAGTACCCAAAGAATTGGGAGAACAAAAGAACAGACCTTATAATGCTTTCTCCATTATTATATCATGTATCATAACTTTCAGTTTAAATTTAAATGTAATAAAGGATGTGGCACAATTCAATATGATTCTTATACAATCTGTGGCTCATGACTCACTGTCTTGAAGCAACCACAGGATCAGAAACTGCAGTTAGATAGTTCATAATGAAGATGATGATTTAACTAAATCAAAGACATGTCATTACATTATAACTACTAAACTATAGTTCATATTGCAGCATAAATTAAAAGAAGATGTGGCTTTAACGGGGAACTAGATGAGCAATTGTATCTAAACAAATTTTGATGAAACTAAATTAAATTTTATGAACAGAAAAGGGTGTGTATCTACAGTTAATATAAGATGCGAAGGAAACAGAGTTAGAAATCATAATTGAATATTGAGGTACTTTTACACCTTAAAGCCAGGGGTAAGCCTCGAGGTATTTTGAGGAGTATATCTTGAGACAAACAATAAAATGACTCAAAAGAATATTAAAATACAAAAATATGCTCATAGCAAAACATAAACCATCTAAAAAACCGCAATATTAAACAAAAATGTTCGTATAATTAAGTACTTAGACATACAAAACAAATTGAAGATAGAAATAAAAGATCACAAAATCCTGGTCCACGGATAACATTTAAAAACTCCCAACAAATTCACTCTCACGTCGGTAATGCTCAGAAAGTACTTGGGGCTTTGGATTATGGCCACTAATCTAAACGTAAATTTTTACAATGTCATTGTCCCCCATCACTATGCATATAGTCAAGGCTCTTGAAACAAGAATCACATGCATGATTGCCACTATTTCTGCAGAACCTTTAATGAATTCAAGATGAAGCCTGTGAGAATTATGCCAAACCTAAATCTTTATTTTCGTTTTGTTATTTCAACAAGAAGAAGATCCAATTTTATCATCTAAATCCTAATCAAATATAGGCAATAAATTTCAACTGTCTTCTTAGTATTGGAAAAATGGATCTCTCTCCAAATCTGATAAGCTCGAATGTGGGCAAATAATTTCAAACAACAAACCTATATTACATTTACTTCAACAGAAAAGAATGACACCACTTGCATGTGTAAATATATCTTGGAAAAAGCTCATATATCATTAAAATGGACATCAACGTCATACGTAGAGACAGACTTGCACATTGAAATTGAAACCCTAGAGTTCCCAACTTTCATTGTCATAATCTTTATAGAAGATCTAAGCCTGATATATTGTGTTTGTAACATGAAATGGGGCCATGAAACTAAAATTCACATTAAATAAACTCCAGTTTCATTAAAAAAACATTCTAATTCCGACACCAAGGATCTAATTGTGTGCTCTCAATACATTTCCTTATCCTAAACCAAACCATTCTTTCAATCAATATAAACCTTTTCACTTTCAAAACTTAGCTATGGTATTCATTCATTCAATTTCTTTTCCAGTTTCCATTTTTCCATCTAAGAAAAAAAAAGTAAGTATTGCGGTGTGTTCCATGTGTATAGATAACTGCATTTGTGATAAAACATGTACTTCGTTCATAGATGTAAAAAACCCCAATACTTTGATTAAAACAAAATCTAAATAACAATACGTGGACCAAATTCCCATTTTGAGCAAATAGATAATTGTCATGAAATTGAGGGGAAACCCCCACATCACCATATATTCCAGAAAAAAAGGAAAGGAAGACTTAAAAGCAGAAAAAAATTCAATTAGACACATTTGCATACATAGATGCAGTGTCCACATGTTTCAATAAACAAGTGATGATAATTAGAAATTCAGAATTAAACTACAAAGTAACATAACATACCTTCTTGTGGAGAGGAGGAGGACAGAGAGACCGGGAGGAGCGGCGGACTTTGGAGTTTTTATGTGGATGCTATGCCCTAGCTTTCTTCTTTTCTATTCAAAAAAATTTATTTTGTGAAGTGCTTTTTGAAATTTATCTTTTAATATATGGGAAAGGGCGCTTTTGCCTTGGACAAATAGCAGTAACCTCTCAAAATTTGAATAAAATTGTGGAATCCTTAAATTACACAGATCTCCCCCAAGATTTATTTCCATGAGTTTTTGACATTATTATAACAGGCTAAATTTTATTTTTAACAAATTTAAAAGAAAGAGATGCAACTTTTCTTGGGATCTCAAGCTCGTTGCATAACAGACTAAAATTCTTGGGCACATATCTTTCAACCAAAATATTTGAAAATGCACGATTTATAACTAATATTAAACAAAATTGATATTGGAAAAGAATAATCATATTAATATATCAATCAATGGGACAAGTGTCCACGTTCTCACTTGCAGAGAGAAAAAGAGAGGTAACAAATCTGAAGGCAAATGGGTAAATAATAACGGAGTAAACTTATACTAAAATAAATGTAGCATGTCCAGAAACACCATTTTTAGATGATCTAAATATATCTATATAAAATTGCGAAGACAAGATGACTTCTCAGAATAAGTCAATAAACACGAAGCATCTAACCTTAGTTCAAAGTCGATACAAAAATCACAGTCAGGCTTTTGAAATTCAATTGATCCGGCCTCATATCAGAACTTCACCCACATATTCAGTCAAATGTAATGGGCATATATATGACCAAAAGATAACTCAGCCAAATCCCAGAGGCCCATCAGGAACTTCATAGCTAGGATCACACAACCGCTTATGCTCCAGAATGGAAGAAAAGACAGGTGGAGCACCAAAATCCAAACTGCTGGGCTCTGACATCTGGTGAGCACACGTTTCCTTCTTTTTATTCTTCCATCGCTTTTCCCTTGTGAAGCATAGGCATCCGAAGCTTATCATTTGGTTTCTGCACATTGATCTCATTCTTACTCCAATCTTAATTACAGAAGAAGCAAACCCTGGCGGTTCATCTAGCTCAATATCGGATCAATTCCAGTAGCTGAAACCGTAATTTGCTAATTTTCAAGTCTGTTACCAACTAGAAGCAGATCCATGTGAGAACATCTCGCAGTGGTTGTGAGAACATGTCTCGCAATGGTCAAATCCATCTAAATTTGACGTTTCTTTATACTGATTGCACAATTAATTCAGTTATCTCAATTTTCATGCTTTCCCTGAACCTAATCACGCTCCAGACATAGTCAGAAATTGGCTCACGACTTTTTCCCTACAATTCAGAAATACAATGAAATGAAAATCTCTTCTAACTCACATCAAAAGAAAGTAACTTCAGCATTGCATACTATTTTTCGAACGTGACTACTTATGCAAGTATAAAATTATTATGTTTGCCACTAAATCAAATACCTAAAGAACAAACATACCCACAAGAATTTCCTTAAAATTAGTTCAAGTTTTTTACCTTTCTCTTCAATTTTCTGAATAAATCCTAGGTATTCAGATTAATAACATCATTGCTTAAAAATAAATAATTTACTTGTACATATTATACTCACAATTTCTTTGAGCTCTCTTATAAATCTTCAGCTGTGATATTGCCGTCCTCGCGCCGCCATGGTTTTCAATGGCAATCCATATATTGCATACCATACCAACAATTACGTACATACACATACACACACACACACACACACATACACATACACACACTAAACAGTAATTCAGACGGTAAATAAAAGGATGAGTTCAGATACTCATTACCCAGGAGTCCCAGTATGTCAATGTAAAATAGTGAAAATCAAAACTATTTTACTTTCTAGCAGAAAGCAGTGAGTCAAACCCTTACAGGAGTAGTACCACAAAGATATAAGTCTTTGACCGTTAAGAAGAGCACCAGAAGCCAAGAATCGAATTATGTATCAGATCGACAATGCTCTGATACCACTGTTGGTATTAACAGTCCCAATAATCCAAAGAAAGTAAAGAAATATAAAAGAACACGAAGATTTTTTCGCCCGAAGGCCCGAATGTTCACCCAAAAGGGATACGTCACCACGTTGAGCTTCCACCGAAGTGGTTAACTCTCTAATTCATTAGAAACTAGCAATAGAGATCAATGCAAGGTTTACAAACTACGATCTAAAAAGATCAACCCTCAGATCCTATTTTTCCCTCACAGATCGAACAGACAGATCACACCAAGTAATCGACCCTCACTGTTAAACCAAGAACAGATACAATCTCTACACCAAGTACATAAACCAGATCTCACCAAGAACATCTAATGATTTAGAGATTAAAACAAAAAATCAGAGGTTTTTCGAGAGAGAATTACAGAGAGCAAAAATGAAAAGCTAAACCCTAGAAGTCTCTCGAATGAATGGTAAGTGAAAAGTCTAGGGCCAAGTATAGTGGAACGTCATTTGCATCCAACGATTTAGCCGACTCCACCTGGCACCATTTGATTCATCCAATTAAAACAAACTAAAATCGTATTTGGAGGAAACACGACTTTGCACAAGTGGGGGCAAAAAACCGGGTCACAAAACTTGGGCTTAAGTGTTGGGTTCCATCATTGGGCCTGAAAGGTGTTAAGCATTTTATTTAACAATTTAAGATTTATATTCTTCTAAAACAGTTCATGCTGATTAAATCTTAAAAACAAAATTAATTATTTTTGCCTAATATCCCAAACCTGTTCTAAAATATTAATGTGTGTTACATTTTTCCAACTGTATTTTACAATCAATACAAAAACCAACAAAAATGGGGGGAAATGAAAATAGGATTTCTGTAAGAAATATAAAAAGAATATTCCTATTGTTTTCTGTACAGAAGGTAATATTTTGAAGTGAAGGAGAAATATACACAATCTTCAAATCCATGACCACCCATGGAGAAACACAAATAAGACCAAACATAATGGATCATCAAATTAAAATATAACTTAAAATACAACATGACTTAAATGTTAATTCTTTTTTTTTTTTATCACCACGAGTGTCCGGGCCAGCTCACGCTTACCTTGACTAATCCCACGAGACCTTGAAGTTTACAACTGAGTACTTACCTCAATGGTCCTGAAAGGACTGAATCTGGTGACCAATGAATGTTAATTCTAGTTCGAAGAACAATGAGTTCAAAGCTCAATGGTGCTTTGAAGAGAAATGGAACAACTGTCATTCACAGTAAATTATAAGCAAACTGAATATAAGCCTAACTTCTTGGCAAAATCAATCAGTCAAGCCATTGGTGGCGCGTCCTTTTCTTTGAACTGCAGCCCGACTGCCTGAAAAATAAAGTTATCAAGTAAATGCGTATGGTCCTTTCGTTGAAGTGATGCCTTGTGTGTACATGTTTGCCATTGCTTAACAGAAAAACTCTGTAATTTTGCTGAACATGATTTTCGAAGTTACACTTTCTACTAATAAAATTTACTATTTTTAGAAAGTAAGTCAAATTTAACTTTCTAAAATAGTAACTACTAAGCGCAGCTAAACATGCTCTAAGAAAGGAAGAAGATATGACTTATGAATCATCAGTATATTCTTTACTGGATGAAGACTTCTGCAAGCTTCGAGATGCTCCAGCAGCCTGTTAAACAAACAACAGTTTATTTGACGTGAAATCTGTAGTGGGTGCTTTAACTTGAACAGTGTAGAAACAAAATATGATCACAATTAAACAATGTCAATGTCTTTTGGAAAAGAGTGCGTACATTGCACTTATTAATGATTTCACAGAAATTCAATTGAGATCTTCATACATTAATTCCCTTCCCATATCCAAAAATTTCACCTATGTTGGGCAACATTCATTCTGTACCTATCATCCTATCATTATCTATGTTATCCACAAAAGTAAAAGTATAATTGCCAACTATCAGTTTCCTTGTATTCTTCTCTATTTTCTGCACAGAACCTTCTCTATCCATGTCAAAAAAGTTTCTTTAACGCTTAGCCAAACATCTTATAGCAAGAAAGATCACACAATCCCTTCCCTATCACACCACCAATATATGTGAATGCACTCATTTAAAGAACATTTCCACTTGCACGATCATATGGGGCTATTGCAACTTCAGAAGTCAAAAATGCCTAAACTACAAGTTCAGTGGCAAACAAATAAAGCTATTAATGTCCAAAGTTGGAGCCAAACCACACGAAGGGCAGATAGTGAACTGATATGCTCTACATAATAATGCCAATGGTCCATCTGGGATGAACTTGAAAACAGACACAAAAGCAGCCATTTTAATTTCCAATATAGTGGTTCAAGTAAAAGAACCTTAAAAGTTAAGAAAAGCTAAAACAATTTACAGTCATCATCAAAAACCTGGAGTAACTAATTGAATAGCACACATAGAAAGAAGCATACTAACGGGGAGGTTGAGTCTTCTGCCTCTACTATGAGCTTCCAGGTACTCTTCATATGTCTGCATCATGAGATAAATAAAGTAATTGTTGGCTTTTTGATACCTAATAAATCCTGGACTATGATGTTAACGTGGGTTAATATTATTTCATAGGCATAAGCCGATGAATGAAATAAGTCCAACAACCAAGTCCATGAGCTACACCCGGCCCAAATGTATTTCCGTATGGATGGCTTGAATTTTGGCCCGTTTACCCCTTTAATGGTCCAACTTAAAGCCTAACTCTAGAGTATATATATGGCTATAACCCTAGCCATTTTCTCATGCTGTATTGTGTGATTTTGAGAGAAGAAAAAGAGAATCCCGGCTGCCTCCTTTTATGTGAGAAAAAAGGTCTCCAAAAGTGTCCAAAACACTTGTATAACGTGTGCAATTGGTAGTTCCTTCATAGTATATCTTTGTGATGTCTTCTTCTAGCCTTTGTGGTCACAAATCATCATCATTTCTTGTCCTACGTGGGTAAAATTGAATAGCAACCAAGGTGAATCAATTAGTTGAGGTTTGGAGCAGATTGAACTGGTTGTTGGTTGAGAAAGGTGCGTTGGACTGAACTCGAAAATCACCGATTCGAAGATCTTTCAAGAGAGCTTCCGTAGCAGTAATCATCAAGAACAAGAACTATAAGTTCTGAGTTTTTTACTTCAATAATAAATTTTCAATTCAAGTAAGTAAAATACTTATATCTATAAAAGAGGGAAAATGCAAAAGAAACATGGTTCAGATAACGTTGAAATTCAATAATAAAAAATAAAGAAGTCTTCAGAATAAGAGAATTTACATTAAAGAAAGACTATAAGCTATTTAAACAATTATACTACTAGGTCAATGTAAGGCAATATTTTATAGTACTACCAGTGATACTCTTATCTTGATTTTGTACGTAACTTGATTCACTCCATAAAAACAAGAAAAAAGAAGATGGGATATGTGGTTATACAATTGTGAATGATCCAACAAACATTCAAAAAATTGTTATCATTCCTGTCCTACAACCATGAGCACGCATTCAAACTTGAATTATAAAGATCACACCAGTCTCTTGCGGGCAACAGGAGTGGAAAAATTGATAGCAAGTGAGGACCAGGAAAATCCCAAGCTTGTCTGCTATCCTACCCATAAACCGTAAATCATGGTGCATTTAAAATATCAGTATTCGATCCAATAGTTTTTCAAAGATAAAATCCAAAGAATCTTCACTGTTTAATTTTCAAATTTTCTTAGGACCTTATCTAATTCACCTGATTAACTAAGATTCAAGATTTATGTTCAAAAAAATTATTGAGAACAATACTCCAGCTGATTTAAGTTATCATGTTCACTTTGGATTAAAATTTACAGCAAATATTGATTGGACTCGTCTCGATAAAAATATAAAATTTAAGCATACTGTCATGAGCTTAAAAGCTTTGAACGCAGTGGATTAAAAGCAAATGGAACAAGAAGCAATAGCAACTTTAGATTACTACACAAATTCCTAAGACACCAGTAACATTCCAATAGCATCTTGGATTCAAAGGATAAAAGAAAACGAAAATGCAATAAAAACTTTTATATTTTCTCACCCTAATGAGACAACTAATAACTTGCAATCGCAGTAATTTATTTGCTCTAAAGACAGACATGTATAGGTGATACTGTGGATACAAATTCACAAGTAGAAGAAACGGTAGGTTATTCAACAAAGAAAACGTTAAATATGTATATCTGACCACATCATTCAATCTTAGGAATCAAATTAAGCAAGACTATACCAAGCAGCAATGAAAACACAACGATAAAGTACACGTTAATTTCAGCCTAATTACGAGTGTCCCTTAGCTATACTTGAGCTTCTCAAGGAATGCATCCCCAATAGCACCCGATACAAGACAAAGTAATTTTTCCTCCTCAAAAACATTTCCAAATTCATTACCATCTTACACGGTTCAGAAATTGACTCATCAAGTTTTCATGCTAACCAAAGATCAAATGTCTCTATGACAATACCCAAATTGACAATCATATAGGATTCCTTCCACCTCTCTCATAGGTAACCATAATCACTATCACATAGGGTTGCTTCCAGCTCTCTTATAGGCAACTTTTGAAATTGATAACCGGGTAATGTACTTGATAATAAATTCTTGTAGTGCAAACCACATCAAATTTATAAAACGGTGAAATATCAAGATGTCTCATACCAAAAGTCATGAAACATGTTTCTTTACTGTCATGCTTATAAAAATAATAAATATTCCACAATTCTCTTTTATATTTTATATTGGAGGTCAAAATAAT